AGATAAGTGAGTCAGTCCATCGTTGCTGCTTTTTTTTCTCTCATTCGTTTGTTTTGTTGAGGGAGTTTACCTGCAGAAATATTTCCTTACACGTACGTACTGCGAATACGTTGTTTTTTCTTTCTGTACTTATATCCTCTTCTTGGGCGGGGCGCTGATCTCCATGAGTTAGGTACCGGCATACTCGGTGTCTGTTTTCTTGCTGACCTTTTCTCTAACACTATACAGTGGATGGTGCATCAGAAGGCGGGGGAGGGGGGGGCTCAATTCGGCACGGCGCAAGCCCATTCTTCACTAATTGTTGTAGCTTGCCCTCTACAGTAACGTTCACCATCAATTACTGAAGCGGGCCACGCCTAACTCTGTCCTCCTGACACGCCTCAGTATTCGTGGCGGTCAAAACTATATTAGTATTTTAGGAAAGTCTTTCTGCTAATTATTTTTGCCTAATATGTCTATTAAAATCTATTACCTTTTATTAATGGCTTTTCATTTCTCCTTAGTGGCTTTTGAATTTTTATTGAGAGCCATATCAAGGTCCAGTGGAAATTTGCATGCGCCCGCTGAATGAGATCTCAACATGACAGTAGGAGGCAGCAGAAGTGCAAAATGTCCTTCCCCCGTCGTCGAATCGCGCCGAATTCCCTTTACACTGAGCGAAAAAATGCTGTTCGAAAACTTTCGCACGATAGGCACTGAGCATTTCGGTACCTAATAGCTACTGTTAGTACGTTTCCTTTTGTCGCTTAAGAAAACCTCATTTAGTAACGGAGATGCTGCGGAAACTGAAAGCCCAATCTCGTATGGGAATGACTAGTCGTAAAGCGCATCTCATCAAAATGTTGGAGGATATCGGAGATTTTTATCTCGAATTGAAGTGGGACTTCCAAAGTTGGAGTAAGTTTTGAAACTTCTATTTGTGTGATTTGCCGTAGTAAGCCCATCAAAATATTCTTTTCAGTTCCTCTGCTTTCACGAATGCTCCCATCTGATGTGTGTCAGATATATAAAAAAGGTACCCAGTTGCGTATGGACACGACACTGGCAGATTTCAAGTATGCACTTTGTTTTCTAAAACATTTCTGGAAATATCTATGTTTTTTCCTTGTTCCCTTTTCCTTGTTCCCTTTTCCCTTCACTGAGCTTTTTACTGCGATTCTGGTCATACAGATCGAAGCTGGTCGGGTTGAATCCATGAAATCACACCCTCGTCCCAGCAGATTGTGTGAGCCTCCCATTTCAATCTCCACACATCATGCTCCTTTCTATGTCTTATACATGATGGTCCGTGGCCCACCGGGCCTAATCATGGCTTTTCTGAAAGCGATTCGAAAATTTTCGTTTTTGGAAGCACCATCTCAGTGCATTGTGGCTTGGCACTCCCCGGCCTTATGGGCGAGGCTATACCTACTTATTTGTATTTCCTCATCAGGTCGGCCACGGCACCAGGCCCAACCAAACTTACCGCGGTGGCCGAGGGTAAATTCAAACCTAGCTCCGTTTCAGGCTACATCAACACCCGACAAATTATTTCGCAATTTATATCTGTAGACGGAGATATTCAGTGACGCGATGGGACGCGGTGCATATATCCTTCGTTTTTAATGCCAAGGCTAAGTACGAGTCCGATGAGCTTATTATCATGGACAACAATGCAAAGGTCAGTTTTCTATATCCTGTTCCTCGCATCAGAAGTATTTTCAGCTACTACCTTTCGGGGCAAAGCCTTACGTACAAGGGGAGGGAAAGGAACGTTCACAACACGTCGCGCTTTGTTGCATATCGGGTTATGAGAAATACCCTTTGAGATTCTTACGTATGTATTTCTCTATGTACTCCTCAAGTGCTCCTGCATGCACTTTTTGGGTAAAACCATGTTCTTATGTTCTTCTTGTAAGCCAAACGCTGCTCTCGAGAAATGTACTGCACTCTTTCCTTGTCAAATTACGATCTTGTGCAGTCGGGAAGTCTGTAGCCTTGATGGTAGTGAGGGTTTTTCAGATTCCTTGCTCACTCAAGTAGAGCTCGACAGTTTCTGTAGGGAATCTCATTATCTTGAATAATCGTCTGTCTGATCTGCCGGTGATGCAGTGGCAGAAGGTCCGCCTACCACGGGGTCAAATCCCGGCTCGCCTGTTACAGAGCCTTCTATGTACAAAGACGGTAATAAGCTGGTACGAGGTTCATCTGGGAGGACAAAACACTGACTTGTACATCGGCTGGCCACCGCAAGTCATTGTATAGGCCACATCGCATTCAATAAGCCACTACGATTCTGAATGGAAGTAGAATGCGTGCCGCATCCCAAAAGGGATTCGGACAACAGCGAGATTCATTCTTTATTAGTATTTATATCGGCCTAGCTTCTCATCAAACTTTATTCGGTTTTCATTTCGGCGTTGTCGTCCTTCTCGAAGTGGGTTCGTACTTGGCAATTGGGTGCACGATCAGATCGCTCGCGTTACCATCCTGACGTGTGAATGCTATTTGCGACTTTAGAAAATCGGAGGACGTTATCTAGTCTTACTCATCGTTTCCGAATATCACTTTTTACCGACCATCTTTCAATTAAATATATGATGTTACAGATTCAGCAAGATTAGGTATTTGACATTCTGCATATATTAGTTAACTTGAGCTCGTCGTAATTTCAAAAGAGATCATCGAGCATAGCTATCCCTCTTCAGGTGTTCCAACGAGTACGTCATGAGGAATCTGAGGCCGAAGTCGATGAAGAAGTGGATGTGTTGATGTCGTCGGATATCGTTTCAGCTCAGGTTTGTACAATGTAGCTTGGAAAGTCGAGTTTTGCGTACTTTTTTGCGCTATTATTATTATTATTATTATTATTATTATTATTATTATTATTATTATTATTATTATTATTATTATTATTATTATTATTATTATTATTATTATTATTATTATTATTATTATTATTATTATTATTATTATTATTATTATTATTATTATTATTATTATTATTATTATTATTATTCCAGATGTCAACGAAAACGATCACTTTTCGACAAGCGTTTTCTGGATGGGTTTTCAAACATGCTAGAGAGGTAATGTCTGTTTAACATTGGCCTACTATCTGCCATAGTAATAACGGTAGTCCTTTAGCAGGGCGTGCCGTTTTAATGCTCGTACAAATAAAATGTTGGTTTTCCACTTCAGGAGCAAATTGGTGACTATAATGTCAATTTCTATCTGGTAGAAGGAATGAGATTAGTATCACGAAAGAGACGGGAGCATCTGACTGCTGATGATATTAAAAAGAACAAATCTTTCATGCAATCGTTGGCAAGTGGTGCTGCTGTGGGTGATGAGGATTTCAAGGTAGAATTTGCTCTCCGACTTGATTTTTCTTTACGTTCTTTTTTGAAGCCCGTGAGTAGTTTTTTTCAGAATTCTATCATGAAGGGTTTTTTTATGAATTCTTTCAAGCGATTTTTTGAGTGAGTTGTATTCAGAGCCTTCAACATCGGAAGTCGTTAGCACCACCTGGTCGAATGCCAACAACTTGGGAGGAATATGTGGGTGCCGCGCCTGGAGCCGCCCCACCTCTCGGAAGGGCACAAATCTTGAAACAGATGAAAAACAATTCACCGCTCTTATTGGAATGGTAAGTTCTTTGCTATTACGTTTTCAGTGCTTTTTTATTTATTTTTTTTAATATTTCTATGTATGATATATTATTCCTCCTCATCTTTCTGCTCCATTTTCTCGAGTTTGTTCAAACCTTAACATTAGGGGGAATGATAATGATGATGGTGACCTCTCTCTCCCTCCTGTTCTCTCTCTTTTTTGAATATTCCTGATAGTTGGTCGGAGGAGTGTACCCCACCCCACACTCATCACGACGCCAAAATGTTCCTTATTGTTAGTAAGAAGGAAGGTAGTTTACGCAAGCAGAATTCTGCTGAAAAAGGATTGAGAGTGAGGGGGGGGCTAATATCTAGGCAAATTTTCTGCAGCGACAACACGGTAATGTAGCTCAATATGAAGTGTCAAACGTGACATTTAGAAAAGTCATCAGCCTTGATGCCACTGAAATTTTGGATCCATGCTGCTGTATCTCTTTTGTTTTCATAATATCCTCACCTCTTTTGAACTGCGCGCCATTATTTTTCGGATGATCAGTATTACAAAAACTGGTTTTCTCTCTTTTTTTACCTCTTTTCTTTCGAACAATCCTGTACGATTTCCAGAGCGAAGATTTCCCCATGGGAATAGATGTTCTTCTCGATATTCTCGAAATTGTCGCACCATTTAAGCATCTCGATAAATTGCGGCGTTTCTGTGAAGCAAGACTTCCGCCTGGTTTCCCTGTGCGTGTAGGTATGTCCCCTTAATTTTTTGGTGTTTTTCAATTTTTTTTTCAAATTTTATCGAAGCCAGCCTTAAGTTTGATTACCAACTCAGTAGGCTTGTCCTGAGGTAGGAATGAATTTTGTGTAAAGGCGCCATCCATCACGACCAGTTGTGAGCAGAGGGTTCAGTTATGGATGTTCTGGTCCTGGTTAGCTCTTAGTAATGGAAAAACGAGAGAAGAGTTCGAAATGCCCTTAGATAGAATCCCCTGCCGATCCGAAATTGTGCGAGCGCACGGCGAAGAGGAGGAGCGGGATATCGTCTTATGGTGTTTATCGACGGACCCAAGCTGATAGTTTTGTCGCGGGCAGGGCACTTTGTACGTTGGGACCGCAGCGTACGACGGGGAGGGGCGTATTTGTTCGGTGGAGAGAGGGTCTGCTTCGAGGTGAATGATTTCGGTTATTGAGTTTCCTTCGTTTCTTCCGTTTCATGGTGCCCACGCACCACCCTCCTCCCCCACCCACCTCTCGGTTCGCCCAATGGCATTTATTGAGGGAAAACTGGAGAATCTTTTCGTAAAAGTGGTGGGAAGTTAACAGAATACAGGAAGATCACAGCTAGGATCGAGCGTGTGGAAGGACGGTGGTACCAGAGTAGGAATTGTTGAGCGGGGTCGTATTCTGCCAAATTCTTAATTTTCCCCCAGCGGCAGTGCCCCCCCCCGGTCGTGGGTACTGTATAAATGCTTCACCATGTCTGAGGGTGAGAGGAACAGAAATGGTTCTCGTTCTTTTCTCTCGCTTTTGACTCCACTTACACTTTCAAAGTGTATATTTTTCAGAGATTCCCTTGCTCCCTACGATATCAGCGAAGGTCACTTTCCAAAAGCTTCAGTTTGTGACTAATCTCTCGGACAAAATCTTTTTCGTGCCGGCATCGTATCGCGAGGATCCAACGAGATTCCCGGATTTATGAATGCCTAACTGATTGTGCAAGAAGACTACTTACGCAGCAATGCGGCAATCACAGCTTGGAAATATACTCCTTCACATACAACTCTTGGATCATCTAACCAGAACCATGGATATTGTTGGCCAGCGGACGCGGCCATTTTCCTTTCTTTTTTCCTTCAGTTGTAGCCAGTATATCTTCGTTCTGCAAGATAGTTATTTCATAATTTAGGATAGTGGTCGATTGCGTGCTCACGCCAAATTATTACGGAAGACCTTTTTTGTTCATGAATTTCCCCATGAATTCATATAGTACCAGTTGAGGTTTACGGTATCCACTAGCATTTCCATCGACATAGGATCCTATAACGTAGGTAGCACGTTTTTATATCCCGTAAGTCACATCAAGTTCATATCTAGAGGGGACATGGGTTTGTGTGGTGTGAATGGGTGCAGTTCGGCTTGGTAAAGGCATTTTTCTGGTTCTATCTACCACACCGATGTGGATACGGTAAATTCCTGTGAAGTTATGTAGTAGCATAGCTTCGTTCACGCTTGACAAGTGTTCATAGGTCGGCGTGCGACCATCAGGAACTAACAAAAGGAACTAGCGGAAGTGCAAAATGGCACTCCCAAGCCGAACAGCGCCATATGAATGTCACGGACGCCGGCATTCTTTTTGAATAACATGGAAAATTCTCGAGTTTTGGCAATGTTCAGACATGTAATGTAGCATATTTCGCTTTAACGTAGTTAGGAGGGGCCCTTTTAAGAGCCTTCCACGCTTACGCGCATGGAATCGCCCCAGCCCAGAGTCGCCACTTGGTCTCCCAACGACGTTAGAGCCATTTTTTAGATGTTAGCGTGCTCTGGGTTAAGATTGTAGGTTGATCATCTCAGATTGTTGGTTGTCGATCTGCAGTCACCCGCAGACCGCGGAGAAATCGGGAGGATTAATTGCTGCTTTGGGGAATAATGTAGGAGCAGTTGAACAACTGTCACAATCTTTGGTCAGCTTTTGACGGCTATTAGGTAAGGGCACGATTACAGGGGGCGGGCGGTTGTTGCCAATGTCATTGGTGGCAGGCAAGAGGAAGTGTGGCCAAACACTATCACAGTCCTTTCACCAGTGACGCTGGGAATAACCGCCTGCTTTAGCAATCGTGCTCATTGCCCCTTAATTGATGTATCCCCTTATTTATTTGATTGTGATTCAACTTCGAGGGTGGATTTTCTACAAAAATCTATTAGCATGGCCTATACAATACTACATCTTTACCTTTCTATTCTCTTTGGTGGCGCTATGTGCTTCGGGGTTGGCTTGGATCCAGTGGTGCTTGATCACGTCATGTCTGCGCGTCTGCGCCCTCTCACCGAAATAGGGTGGCATGTTCTGACCTGGCTCAGTAGACGTCAGAAAAGCCACCCTCTAACTGCAACATCTCTCCAAAGCAGCAGGACGTGATTCTGCTTCACTATAGAGTTGCCGCTCCCACGTTCATAGTGTCCTTTGAATTGATTCGCGCGAAAAGAAATTCGCGGCCGTATTTTCGCTCCAGTGTCCGGTGAGGATATGTCATTCGCGCTTTCCTAGGTATCACACTGCTGTGAACTAGCCGTCAGTTCGTTTTAATCTGATAGTGCTCTATGTTCACTTATTTAACTTTGTTTGCTCCAGTACTGATTCAATGGTATTTTCAATTCGAAGAGATTCTTAACGTCTGAACATCCTAGTGCTGCTTTACTTTCACTGAATTCCGGCTGATTGACTTATTGCTCTTGTACTTAAAACCACATTTAAAATGATCTCGGGTGCTACGGAGCTTGCACCTCTTGTTTATTATTTATTACAATTTTATATTGGTTGTATTATTTGTAGCACACCATAGTTGTCAACGATCCTAACGGGTCAAATGATCGAATACTGTGTATCCAACCTGTGCATGATTCTATCAATCCCGTTTTTCTTCATTACGAGTTCGAGTGATTATTCCGCGACTGTATGATTTTTATCGAATTTTTTGTCTACTCTTTGGGCTTCGGAAGGTTTTCCATGCCTCGATCGGCTGTTTCTCACATTTTTTATTATCTATTTGTAAATTCGTGCTAGTCATTTCTTTGTTAGCTCAGGCTTTGAATGCAGACCTTTCTCTGAAGTTTGTGAAAGTGTTGAAATGCATTTAATGAATTTTTTAAACACTTTTAAATTTTGTCTATCTATAACAAGTGGCCGTCGAAGGTAAGGGCACGTGACAAGACATTCGTGACTCATCGCACTCATTGGTGGGCGTCGCATGCGACGTCGCGCTCGTTGGCGACGATGTCCCCAGATAGTGTGTAGATGGTGGCAATAGACAATGCATCACCAAAATTAGTCATCAATGTCTACAATTTTGCGGTCACACGAAAATTCGGAGCTTCAGTCGACAGGACTGGCTAAGGAAACTGAAAAAAATGCCGCGGGCGACGGAGCGGCAGAATGTCTTGACTGTCTTCCCAGAAGTTGCCCATAGGGCATTCCATATAATAGGCTGGACTTGGTTTTCCAATTTCAATTCTAAAACGACTATTTAAATACTTCTGCCAAACGAGGTTTTTAGATGACACCTT